GGATCAGCAGGGCCCACCGCTCCGAGGGGCGGCCCTCTGCAGCGCCCCGTCCTTCCCGCTCGTCGGTCACAGAGTCCTCGGCCCTGCCCCGGCCAGGGAGCCACAGAGGACCAAGAGTCCAGCGGACAGAGGCCTCCATGAGAGGCCGTGTTCAGAGCCAGGGTCCCTGGGCAGGGCCGTGCGGGGGCAGGGGGGCCCGGACCTCCTCAATGTCAACCGAGCAGGAGGCTGCAAAGGACCAGCCAGAGGGTGAGGAGGAGGCCCCAGCTGCTACCCACAGTGGGGGACCCAGAGGACCCACTCACTCCTGGGGTGGTGAGGGTGGGCCTGCGCCGTGGGCCGACTGGGGAGGTGCTTGGGCTGCGCTGGGACTCGAGGCTTCATCTCAAGGGCCTAGAAGTGGTCGTGGCTCCTGGGGCAGGAGCCCCATGGCGGGGTGGGGGAGGAGTGTTCAAGGCGGGCGCGACTAACCAGCCCTGAGTGGGAGGACCCAGGCCTTCACCGCAGCGGCCTCCTGCCCAGCGCCCCCGAGGGCTGCCTGTGTGGCCCCGCACCAGTCGGTCTCTGGCCTTCCCCAGAGAGGAGGCCTTGTTCGCTGCCTAACTGGGGCTCATTCCTGGTACCTCCTCGGGGTTCGGTGTCCAGGGCAGGGCCCTGAACCGACAGGATCAGCGTCACGTGGCACCCTAATAGAAATGAGCCTTGGACATTCTCCTGGAACTAACGGGCAGAACTCTGAAGGCCGGTCCTCCTGGTAGTGTGGGGGCAAGCTCAGAGGGAAGACCCGAAACTGGGGAGGGGGCGGCCTGCTTTCAGAGGCGGGCACATGAACCAGAGACCTGTAGCCTTCCCCTCCTGAAGTTGCAGACTGTGGACCATTCGTGGGAGGCGCTGACCTGCTCCCAGTGGGGGGAGCCCGCATGGAGGAAAGCAGGTGGCCTCCCGGGCGCAGGTGGTAAAGCCGGTGCTCTCAAGCTACCCCCAGCCCCTGCGGCCTGAGTGCCAACCTGGCCAGGGAGGGCCCCAGGGCACAGTGGACCCTCCTGTCTCCCCACTGCCCCCTCAGGGTGGATTTCAGCAGATCCACCTGTTCTGCTCCCCCCCCACCCCCCGCGCTCTCTGGGAAGCCCTCTCGGCCGACACCCCAGTCCTTGTGTGCGTGTGGCCAGCCAATGGCCATCACTTCAGCGGCTCACTTGCACGACCCACACAGGGGCCTGCTGCCTGCCTGTGCCCTCGCAAGCGCGCTGTCAGCAGGTGGCAGGTGTGGCCATGTCGGGCAGCTGTGTTCGGTGAACCTCTCGCTCCCGGTTCTGAGTCCCTGATGCTGACGACGTCGGCTACCGAACCAACAGTTGCTGTTTCCGGGCTGGGTGAGGGAGCCCTGCAGGAGGCCAGGGTGCAGGGAGTGGCCCGGCGGTGCTCATGCTCCGCGTTCAGGCCTGGAGAATCGTCCACAGGCCGCTGAGTGGTTAAACCCAGCGGCGGGCAGTTTTCTGATCTGGAATGAATGTCCTGTGGCAGGAGGCGATGAAGACCTTGCAGTCATCGCTCGCGCTGATCTAATGTGTGTGTCGCTCCGGCTGGGACAAGGCTACGACCCCACTTGCAAGTGTAGACCCCCACAGACCGCTACGGGCTGCAAAGCCAGCAGACAGAGCCCCAGAACATTCCGCCGTGGCCAGAGGTCAGTGCCTGGCTGGAAGAGGACAGAGCAAGCGCCTGGCAGGGAGCGGGGACGTGACTGCAGTTTTCGGCTGACGACACACACCAGCAGTGTGCTGGGAAAGGTTCCAGAGCAAAGGTGGAGGCAGCCGTCGCGCCCAGCACTGTGCCCAGGCTTTGTGTCCAGCGTGGAGTGACTCTGGCCCTGGCAAGTGTTCTGAGGGCTGCAGCTCGCACGCCAGGACAGCAAGGTAGCCACAGAGCTTCCAGATGGCCTGACGAAGCACGGGCGGCCATCTCGAATCCTCAAAGGCATCTCACCTGGAGGAGGGACCACAGCGCTGGGCTGTTCCAAGGGCTGGGCCAGAAGTCCCAGGGGGAGGTGGGCTCGGCCCAGCGGGCCCCCGCGTGTGGTGAGTGCCCAAATATGGGGCAGCCGGTGAGACGCCTGAGCCCTGTCAGGGTGGGGGTGGGGAGCTGCGGGGGCCTTCGTGGTCTCCCCTTTCTTCTGGGCCCTTCTCTCCGCCTGGCTTTGTGGAGTAGCCTGCCTATTGCCGGCTAGCTCAGCGCCGCCTCTGCTGATTCCTCTGACATTCTCTGATGGACGCGTCCACTTTCTGAATCACAGTTTCTGTCGTTTTTCATCTCCCTGTCCTCAGCCGAATATAGCTGCAATCCTGGGGGAAGAAAGAGTAGTTCTAAAGTTATTCTTAGTTTTTTAAACCTTGTTAAGTTTGCATTGCTCAATGCATGAAATAAATTGAGCATGGATTGCTTTTTTTTTTTTGAAGATTTATTTATGCACACAGGAACTGGGGTACAGGCCAGGGGTGCGGGGATGAGAGGGCTCCCCAGAGACAGAGTGGGGACAGGCGGGTCCTGAGACGCCCTGCCGAGGGGGCAGCGCGGAGACGGGAGGGGCTGCTGAGCCCTGGGGTCCCTGTTGGCTGGGTGCAGACTCCCCGCTGCAGCTGCGGACAGCTCCGCAGAGCCAGCCTGTGGTGACCTCTTGGCCACCAGGGCGGCCGAGCATGGTCTGCTGCTGAGGGAGAGAAACTAGATCCTTCTGCCTTGGGATGCTGCGGTGGCTCTAAATCTTGGCACCCCGCAAACAGCAGGCTCCAGAGGCTGTAACAGGTGGAGGCAACAAGGGCTTCACTGCTGTGGGGCTCGGAAAGGGCCAACTGCCGCTAAGTCACACTCCCTTTCAGGGGACTTCCGGGCTCCTCCAACCCAGAGCCCTAAGGAGAGCGGCCTGGGGGGCCAAGTGGGGGCCGCCTCCACAGCCCCCAGGCCCCAGCGAGTCAAGAGCCTGCGCAGTTGCCTGGGCTCGCTCCTGCTGGTGCTCAGGGAGGTGGCTGCCGGGCAGCGGGAGGCCACAGGGCCACAGGCACAGCGCCACCGGCCAGGTGGGCGCGAGGGCGCAGGTCGCAGTGGGCCGCAGGGCAGCTGCCGGCTGGGTGTGGGTGACAGCCGCCAGCGAGCAGAGCCCCAGGCGCGCCCGCGAGAAACTGCGCCCCCGAGCCCAAGGGGCCGTCCAGGGAGAAGGGCTGCGACCTCCCGCGCCACGTGCCCGTCCGGGAGGCGACAAGCTGCCAGCCGGCCGCCTGCGCCGGCCTCCGCGCCTGCCCGAGAGGGCTGTGGCCGGCGTCGGGTTCTGTTGGCCAGTGTGCGCGCGGCGCAGGCCCCGGCCAGCCCCCTGGGA